GCCTCTCGCCCCCCCACACTGGTGAGATTTCCTCCAGTAGTTTGTGTCTCTGCCCCTCCCACAATGGTGAGATTTCTCCCCAGTAGTTTGCGTTTCCCTTCTTATGGCCATTTAATAAATGACCCCAGTCCACCCCAGTTGGGGCCTCCCTCTCTTGCTGTTATAATACCATGGCATTGGTCAGGTGATCTTTGCCAAAGAAGAGGCAGAGCCTCTTACTGGCCACTTGCCCCTGAACATCTCTCCTCCCAGGTTCCTCCGTGAAGAACATATGATCACTGGGGTCGGTGTTGAACTGCAGAAGACTCTCAATTTGGGGAATCCCTCAACACTTATTTTATATATCTCATCAAGAGGAAGATGTATCAGTCTGAGCTTGATTACCCAACCGAAGTTCAAAACTGGCCCCTCCACTTCTCAGGCCCTCTATGGAATACCCTCATTTATCTGGGTGGGCCTGCATTTGGCTCGGATCACATTGTCTGTGCACTTCTACATCCTTAGTAACATGGTCCTACCATGCACAGTAGCCTCGTGTTTCCACCAAGTTTCCGAAACAGAGGCAACCACATTCTGATCTAGATCACAAACTTGACTCTTCGTGTAACCAAAGACAAGATGTATAATGGGCGGGGGGCTGAATTTCAAGGTGGGACCTGAGCTATATTGTGGCCGGAGCTGATCCTAGGCTTTGAGCAGAAACAAGACATCATGGGGCAGGCGGTCCTTCTAAAAAGCCTAACCGATATCAATAAGGTCCTTCTAAATAGCCCAACCGATGTTAAGACGGTCCTTCTAAAAAGCCCAACCGACATCAAGACGGTCCTTCTAAAAAGCCCAACAGATATCAATACGGTCCTTCTAAAAAGTCCGACAGATATCAAGACGGTCCTTAAAAAAAGCCCAACCGATGTTAAGACGGTCCTTCTAAAAAGCCCAACCGACATCAAGACGGTCCTTCTAAGAAGCCCAAATATCAAGAAGGTCCTTCTGAAAAGCCCATCCAATATCAAGCCGGTCCTTCTAAAAAGCAAAACCAATATCAGGACGAGTCCTTCTAAAAAGCCCAACTAATATCAAGACGGTCCTTCTAAGAAGCCCAATATCAAGACGGTCCTTCTAAAAAGCCCAACTAATATCAAGACGGTCCTTCTAAGAAGCCCAATATCAAGACGGTCCTTCTAAAAAGCCCAACCGATATCAAGACGGTCCTTCTAAAAAGCCCAACTAATATCAAGACGGTCCTTCTCATAAGCCCAACTAATATCAAGACGGTCCTTCTAAAAAGCCCAACCGATATCAAGACGGTCCTTCTAAAAAGCCCAACTAATATCAAGATGGTCCTTCTAAAAAGCCCAACCGAGATCAAGCCGGTCCTTCTAAAAAGCACAACCGACATCAAGACGGTCCTTCTATAAAGCACAACCGACATCAAGATGGTGCTTCTAAAAAGCCCAATATCAAGACGGACCTCCTAAAAAGCCCAACCAATATCAAGACGGACCTCCTAAAAAGCCCAACTGATATCTACATGGAGAGTTTTCAGGTACTCTACGCAAGTGACCAAACTTTCTCTCGGATTAAGAGGGGAGGATTGGTGTAGAGCAGACCCGATTCACCATAAAACAATCCTATCACCCTACCCTACCCACCAAGGCTGAGCCAACTGGACCAAAACTCTTTTTTGTGCCGTGAATTGGGTTCTAAAAACTTATCTTTAGGTATTTTTGTAGATGTGTAGATGGATGGATTCACCCCTCCCAACAGACTCACACAAACACCACCAACATCACACTAAGCCAAAGGAGAACCTTTATTATCGTTTGACGCGGCCAATGAAAGAATTGAAATTAACGAGCTGCAAATTGCAACCGCACATTTAATCTGAGATGGATAGAAGCCATTGAGGGCAGACTCAGCTGGCTTTTCCCCAACGCCTCCGATGGGGTCTGTAGTCCCCTCTCACATTGACGGCGCTGCGAGACTGCTTGAGGACTCCGTGGGCCTGGAAGCAGAAAAACATTTGGACTCGGATTCTACGGCACTGCAAAATGTTCATGTTTCTCTAAAACCGATGTTCTCCTTTGAGTGTTCTAAGACGGTAAAGATGGATGCTTCAGACAACATCGGGGGGGAAGGGGGGAGGGAAGCCCGCCTGGATCAAACTTTATTTACAGACTTCCAAATCAGGTCTCGTTGATGTCCTCAAGTTCTCCTTGATGCAGCTTTCGGTTCTGATGCCGCACAAGAGACGACTTGCTGGCAAAGTTTTTCTTGCACTTGGTGCAGGCGAACGGCTTCTCCCCGGTGTGGGTCCTCTCGTGGATTTGGAGGTCGGAGCGGTTCCGGAAGCACTTCCCGCAGCGGGAACACAAAAACGGCTTCTCCCCCGTGTGGCTGCGCTGGTGCGAAATGCGGTGGGAGTTGCTGACGAAGGATCGGCCGCACTCGAAGCAGGGGTACGGCTTCTCCCCCGTGTGGATCCGCTGGTGGATGATGCAGTCAGACTTATTGCTGAAGCGTTTGCCGCACATGGCGCAGGAGTAGGGCTTCTCCCCCGTGTGTATCCTGACGTGGATGGCGAGGTTCGATTTCCGGTTGAAGGCCTTCCCGCAGTGCGGGCAGGGGTAGGACTTCTCTACGCTGTGCGCCCCGCGATGGGCGGCCAAGTCTGAGTTACTGCGGAAGCATTTCCCGCGCTGTAGATAGGTATAAGTCTTTCTTCTGTGGGTGGCCTTCTGGTGTCCGCCAACCGGAGGCCTCCCGTAGGCACTGCGGGCAAACGGCTTCTGTACCGTGAAATGGTCTTCAAGTTCGGAATAGGGAAAGAACTCGTACTGCGGCTCGATCCTCTCAAAACTATGGAGAGCATCAGAAGCCAGGTCATGATCAAAGTCATCATATATATACGGGGTCACCGAATGGCCAGCGGGCGCAAACTCTTCTTCAGTCGAGAGGGATTCCTCCTTGATCTGAGTTGCGATGTATTGTGTGTGAGGCGTGGAATCATCAGAGTGCGGAAGGTCTTCTTCATCTTGACACGAGGCTGACGTCTCGGGGACGTTCTCCAGAGTGTAGGAATGGGTTTGTTCCTGCGGTGAGGTTATTGCGGTTGAATGATTGACTTTGATATCAGGATCTTCACTCAGACATTCCGGTGATGGAAACGTTAGGACCTGGGAGTCTCGAAATTTCAAGTCTGTTGAGAAAGGAGATACATAAAGGTGAGAAGGTGGAAAGGGACAACCCTAATCATCACCGAGGAGGCCAAAAGGGTTCATCATGAGTGATGTGTAAATCAATGGTTAGAGAACTGGAGATAGGACAAAGTATACTCTCACCTTTCCGACATGAGAAGATAAAGTTTCCTCTTACCCGGTGATGTGAGGGGCGGCTCATTCTCCATCACGACGTCCTTGTAGAGATCCCGGTGTCCTTCTAGATACTCCCACTCCTCCATGGAGAAATAGACAGAGACATCCTGACACCTTATAGGAACCTGACACACACAATGATACAGTCACCACCCAGACACATCCCTTGTCTGTTCCTGGATCATGTCCCAGAATTCCCGGCACCGCTCACCTCTCCTGTCAGCAGCTCCATGATCTTTTGGGTGACTTCTAGAACTTTCTCCTTATACTTTCTCTCTGGAATCATGAAGTGAGTTGGAGGAACGGTGATTGTGATTTGGTCCCCATTCTTGCTCATTATCTGTTGAAAGAGCAAAATTATGTCATGTGACCTCCCAGAATCCTCCTCACCTCCCTGGTCAGGTCAGTGTGTTAGTAATAGAGATCAGAGTGATGTCATGTGACCTCCTAGAATCCTCCTCACCTCTCCGGTCAGGTCTGTGTTTTATTAATAGAGATAAGAATGATGTCATGTGACCTCCCAGAATCCTCCTCACCTCCCTGGTCAGGTCTGTTTTATTAAGAGTGATGTCATGTGACCTCCCAGACTCCTCCTCACCTCCCTGGACAGGTCAGTGTGTTAGTAATAGAGATAAGAGTGATGTCATGTGACCTCCCAGAATCCTCCTCACCTCTCCGGTCAGGTCTGTGTTTTATTAATAGAGATAAGAGTGATGTCATGTGACCTCCCAGAATCCTCCTCACCTCTCCGGTCAGCAGGTAGATGATCTCCAGGGTCAGGTTTAGGATCCTCTCAGTCGTGTGTCTCTGCTCCTTCTTCATCGCTGCCGGAGGACTTCCTGTGAATGAGAAAACTCTTCAATACATTTACTGACATCCGACTTCTCGCTTCTACTAGAAATAGAATTACAGACAATTTGTTTAGGAACAAAGCAAGAGAACCAACCCGATGGATAGGGGGAGGGGAGGGGACGGGGGATGGAGCAGGGTTTGTATGCCGGGTATGAAATTAAACGCGGATACCTTCTGATCACCAAAATGATATTCTGTATCTTGTGATCGGCTGATTGTCGGGGGAGGAGCTATAATGGGCCCGGCCAGGAGCAGATCATCCGAGGGAACTGCTGACATCTATGGATGACCCGGAAGCGGAGAGATGCCTCTGATGGAACAGAACCGAACAATCTATTCAGTGATTGTACAATATGGAGGTTGCAATACATGACATTGAAGATCACCCCCAATTCCTGCACCCTGACCCCTCAGATCACCCCCAATTCCTGCACCTTCACCCCTCAGATCACCCCCAACATCTCCAATCTTTCAGTAGCCAGCCCAAATGAGGGTATTATTGCAGCAGTCGGGATGTAGCAATAATGGACCCCAGAACCAATAATTGGCATCATCTACTACTGCCTGGCCATTATTTCCCTGAAAGGTCGAGGAGCATGCTGGGAACTGGAGCTCAGCCCGGAGAATGGGAATGAGCAGACTACAGCACCCACAATGCACTGCACAGCTCACTTCCGCCTCGGGGAGAGCCGCACTTCCGGGTAGGCTGCCCTAATTTAATGTCTATGTGCGCCCTCGTGTGGTCTGTGTGGGAAACTGCAGCGTGTGTAATGGATCATTCTGCAGTCATGGGGCTGATATAGCGCCACTGCCATCTTGTGGCGGCTTTGCTAACTGCAGGTGAACCAAGATTTATTTATTTTTATTATCTTCTATGTGACCTCAGTCCTTCCCTTCAGTCTTCTATGTGACCTCCGTCCTCCCCTTCAGTCTTCTATCTGACCTCCGTCCTCCCCTTCAGCCTTCTATCTGACCTCCGTCCTTCCCTTCAGTCTTCTATGTGACCTCCGTCCTTCCCTTAAGTTTTCTATGTGACCTCCGTCCTTCCCTTCAGTCTTCTATGTGACCTCCGTCCTCCCCTTCAGTCTTCAATGTGACCTCCGTCCTCCCCTTCAGTCTTCTATGTGACCTCCGTCCTCCCCTTCAGTCTTCTATGTGACCTCTGTCCTCCCCTTCAGTCTATCTGACCTCCGTCCTCCCCTTCAGCCTTCTATGTGACCTCCGTCCTCCCCTTCAGTCTTCTATGTGACCTCCGTCCTTCCCTTCAGTCTTCTATGTGACCTCCGTCCTCCCCTTCAGTCTTCTATGTGACCTCCGTCCTTCCCTTCAGTCTTCTATGTGACCTCCGTCCTCCCGTCCCGTCTTCTATGTGACCTCCGTCCTCCTCTTCAGTCTTCTATGTGACCTCCGTCCTCCCCTTCAGTCTTCTATGTGACCTCTGTCCTCCCCTTCAGTCTATCTGACCTCCGTCCTCCCCTTCAGTCTTCTATGTGACCTCTGTCCTCCCCTTCAGTCTAATATCTGACCTCCGTCCTTACCTTCAGCCTTCTATGTGACCTCCATCCTCCCCTTCAGTCTTCTCTGTGACCTCCGTCCTTCCCTTCAGTCTTCTATCTGATCTCCGTCCTTCCCTTCAGTCTTCTATCTGACCTCCGTCCTTCCCTTCAGTCTTCTATCTGATCTCCGTCCTTCCCTTCAGTCTTCTATCTGACCTCCGTCCTCCCCTTCAGTCTTCTATGTGACCTCTGTCCTCCCCTTCAGTCTAATATCTGACCTCCGTCCTTACCTTCAGCCTTCTATGTGACCTCCATCCTCCCCTTCAGTCTTCTCTGTGACCTCCGTCCTTCCCTTCAGTCTTCTATCTGATCTCCGTCCTTCCCTTCAGTCTTCTATCTGACCTCCGTCCTTCCCTTCCGTCTTCTATCTGACCTCCGTCCTCCCCTTGCACAGTTGTACCGCCTCCTCTCCTGGCTTGAAATGGCTTCCTCTGATACCACTGCACACGGCGAGCCTCTCGCATTAGAAGCTGCACCGAGTCAGATACAGCTCGCCTTATTTCCTGGCTGGAGGACATCAATCATGGTGGGCGGAACAGACCATCTCCTGTCCTGACAATCAAATTTGTCTGTGTTAGTGGGCGGGACAAACCGGGAGCCTGAGATGTCCAGGACCTCCCACTATAGCCAGCGGTGGCGTATTGATAGCCTTAAGGAAACCTCTCATCAGTGAGGGAAACAAAGTCTTCAGTGTGACACCAGGGACTCTGGGGCAATGGAAAAAGGTCATGTGGTCTGATGAGTCCAGATTTACCCTGTTCCAGAGTGGTGGGGGCATCAGGGTAAGAAGAGAGGAGGATGAAGTGAAGCCCCCATCATGCCTAGTGCCTTCCATACAAGCCTATGGGGGGCGGAGTTGTGATCTGGGGATGCTTCGGTTGGTCAGTTCTAGATCAAGAAATGTTATGTGCCCAAACATTTAGGTCAGCTGACGACCTGAATATACTGAATGACCAGATTTATCCATCAATGGAGGTCTTCTTCCCTGATGGCACATTGGGAACATTCCAAGATGACAATGTCAGGACCCATCGGGCTCAGATTGTGAAAGAGTGGCTCAGGGAGCACGTGACGTCATCGTCACACACGGATTGGCCACCGCAGAGCCCAGACCTGAACCCCATTGAGAATCTCTGGAGAAGACTTTACGCAGAGGTCCGACTCTCCCATCATCACTACAAGATCTTGGCGAGAACTTAACGCAACTCTGGGCGGAAATAAATGTGGTGACGTTGTATAAGCTCATCGAAGCGTTTCCGTGGCGATTGTAGCTGAAGGCGGACCAATGAAATATTTGAGTGTGTGACTTTGGGGGGGGGGGGCAGGCCGTGCGTGTTCCATCTCACTCCATCATTCGCTGGGACTTGTATGTTCCTAGAACTCTGCTTCCTAATACTTTTCTACAACACGGGAAGGCTGCAACAAGCTAGAGATAAGAACTCTGTGCCCGGACCAGACCGCATCCTGCATTAAAGGAGAACTATGAGGTGAGTGATCTTCACTCATCCTCATAGTTAGAGCCGACCTGTGACAATGAAACTGTCGCACGTCGGGTCTATAGATCGGGAAGCGAGCGAACACATACCGGCGCTCGCTCACTTCTCGATCATATCCCTGCAGAGAGCCGTGACAGTCACTGACAGCTCCCTGGAGGGATTCACGGACTGGCGGAACGGACGGGGGAGGGGGCGGGTACAGCTGTCAATCACGCAGCTGGGTGGATTCAGACAGTAATGTCGGGATCCGTCCCGGCTGCGGCGGTCTCAGTATACGGCGAGCTGCTATACCGAGCCTAGGGTGAGGGGAGGACTCTAGTTTGTGTCCTCCCGTGACCCCGAGGAGAACTATGGGGAAAAGCCCTGACCCCCGTAGTTTTCCTTTAAAAAGCCAGAAGCCGTCCTGAGATCCGACTTTTAAAATAAAATGAATGTAAATAAAATAAAAACTCTTTACTAGGAGGCCAATGTTACAGCCAAGGACATTGTGAAGACTCAGATTCCATTAGTACACACAGGCTGAAAATCTCCGTCACTGCGCCCTGTGATCAGTAAGGAACAAGCAGGTTAGGTTGCGGGGAAAGTTCTCCTGTCAGTCCGTCAAGTCCACAAGTTGGTGTCATGATTTTACCAATTTGCTGTTCCATATTTGTTTTGGTTACTGACGTCCATCGAGTTCAACTTCTCACGACTCTGAGCAGCTTAGTCCAGAGGAAGGGAACTCCACCCCCTCTAAACGATCCCATCCTGACCCACCGAGGACACGCTCACGTTCCACAGAGAGGTCTGACGTGCTCCCTTTAGGATGATGTTCTGAAAGCTCAAAGTGAACTTGTAGTTGAAGAGAAGAGACGGGCCGCCATCAGACTCCGGCACTTGTATCTTATCTCCGTAGTGGTTCCTCTGGGGCGTGTTGAAGCCACCGAAAGCCTACATGAGCGTGGACTCCTCTCCACCCACCGCTCACATCTTGGTGACTGTGCACCCGTCCGGCAGCCCCTCATTGGCTAGTGGGAGGTGGAAGGGGCGTGCCTCTGCTCTGTTGGAATCTGAATAAGCCTTCAGAAGCTCTTTAGGATGGCGAAATAAAAGCGCCTTCCATACGTTCTCTCATGTAATTGTGTTAGGTTACATAGGGGACACCTGAAGTGCTCTCGTTTAACAACCGTTGTGATAAAACCAATTACGGCACAAGCCAGTATACATTTCCAAACAACTTAACCCTCTAGGCACTCTCATAGCGCTTCCACCAGCCGTAGTTGCACTTCCTGCCTTTTCCAGCTATCCAAATCCAAGAAAGAGTTGAACAAACTTTATTGCTAGTAGTACAAGATGACAAAGCCTTCTCAGCCTTTTGGCTAAGATCAAGTGTAGTGTCTGTTCTTATCAGTTTTCAGAGGGGGACAGCACCGTCCTGTCGGGGGGATGGTTGCTTAGTACTCACTGGAGTGAAGCCGAGTGCTGAGGGGTTCCTTACCTGCGACGGGAACTTCTCTGCACTAATGCCTCCTGAAGGGGACGGGTGCTGCTCTGGCCGGAGGGTTCGGGGAGCGCAGAGGCCCGCGGTGGGGTGCCCACTGGGGGTGGTGGAAAATCACTTGGGTTTCACACCCCACCGTGATTCAGCTGCACTAGGTCACAGCCCCTAAAGCATTTTCTGCACCACGCCTCTTGGGCAGGCCTTCTGGCTAGCCCGGGGCAATTTTTATACCTGGGTCAGATGGCCTGCCACGTTTGTGCACCTATTTACATTAAGCACTCTTTTTATGCACGACTGAGCACAGATGATGGAGGGTGCGGGTATCTTCGGGGCCCGTCGTGAAACTTAATGGGGAGGTTCTGTGGCCTTCACTGGCTTCTCTGCCTTCCCCCACTTGGGGGGGGGGGAGGTCTCACTTCGGGTGAGTCCCATATCTAGTACTCGTAGGTCCTGCTTCGGTGGGAGGATCGTGGTCCGCCAGCCTTTGGGTAGGTGGACCTGAGTCGTCCTCGCCCCTGTCAGGAGCCTTGCGCCCCGGCGGGGGAGTTCAGGAATTTCGAGGCCCTTCCTCTTCGGAGGAAGACAACAGCAACCTCGTGCACTTTTCTTTTTGTGTGTTGTAATTTCACGATTACTTTTTTTGTTCAGAGGGGAAGTTGATTTTGATGCACGCACCGCGGACAAGATCACGAAGCCAGGCTCCGACATGTTTCACTCCCAAGAGGGGATCAGTCAGGAAAGTTACTGAAGCCCCCAGCCTGTCACAGCACAGATTTATATCATTTTTACTTTCACTTCTGGAATGAATGTATGAGGAAAGGATATGCAGCTCTTATCAGATCCGGCCTCTTCTCTTACAATGATGAAAAGTCTCCACACATTGTTCCCTCAATAATATCCACGTCCTGGTAGAGACACTCCATACAGTCTCTTCCTCCCCACCACACGCTGTTTAAAACCATTTCATACAACTTCCATTATTACAGCTGTGTCTGAGCTACGGCGATACCAAGCGATTATAGAAATGTATAAGAGAATACCAATCAGTTCAACACCCAACATGACTACGTCATACTATAGAGAAGACAAACAGGTCACATGACATATTCTAGGTGACGTGTACATCCGGCTTAGCATGATTCTGTTCTGCAGTAATAGGATGGACGGGAGGGTCTGGCAGACAGCCATGTGCTAGATTCTGGCTTTGTAATCTTGTACTGTAAGCAATAAAGTTTGTTCAAGGAAAAAAAACAAGACAAAGTGCAGCTTTATTTGCCTGGCTGGTCCCACGTCCACCAGCCACTCCAGACTCCATCTAAGCCCGGTGCTGTTGTCCAGCACTGACAGTGGAACTCTGCTGGCTCTGCTCGGCCTGTACACTGGAGGAATCGGCATATGTTGCCTCTATATTCAGTATGCAAATGTAATGAGACAAGATGGCTGCCCCCGTGTAGGCGGTGTTAAAACTTTCAAAGGTTTATAAAAGTTGATCACATTAATATACAATATATATCATCATATTATCTGCTACAAATCCCCTTCAGTGGCCCCGATTCATCGAGCTGCAAGAGCACTTTAAGCACGCCGACGGTATGCTCATGTTCTACCAGTAAGTCCCAGCAGGGGGCAAAGTGCATCAAAAGGAGTGTCCTCAATAGTGCTGGAACAATAAAGTTGTTTCTAAGCCATCAGAGCGCAGCTTCCTCTTATAGTATAAGGCCTCTCATATACACTGTATTGCCAAAAGTATTGGGACGCCTTTACACGCACATGAACTCTAATGGCATCCCAGTCTTAGTCCGTAGGGTTCAGTATTGGGTTGGCTCCGCCCTTTGCCGCTATAACAGCTTCAACTCTTCTGGGAAGGCGTCCACAAGGTTTAGGAGTGTGTCTATGGGAATGTTGGACCATTTGTGAGGTCAGGTACTGATGTTGGAGGAGAAGGCCGGGCTCGCAGTCTCCGCTCTAATTCATCCCAAAGGTGTTCTATGGGGTTGAGGTCAGGACTCTGTGCGGCCAGTCACGTTCCTCCACCCCAAACTCCCCCATCCATGTCTTTATGGACCTTGCTTTGTGCACTGGTGCGCAGTCATGTTGGAACAGGAAGGGGCCGTCCCCAAACTCCTCCCACAAAGTTGGGAGCATGAAATTGTCCAAAATGTCTTGGTATGCTGATGCCTTAAGAGTTCCCTTCACTGGAACTAAGGGGCGGAGCCCAACCCCTGAAAAACAACCCCCCCCCCATTATCCCTCATCCCCCAAACTTTACACTTGGCACAATGCAGTCAGGCAAGTACCGTTCTCCTGGCAACCGCCACACCCATCGGATTGCATGCGCCGACCCCGCTGTGTCATGTTAGGTGGCCTACCACTTCGTGGCTGAGTTGCTGTGGTTCTCAGTTGCTTCCACTTTGTTACAATACCAGTAACAGGTGACCGCTGAATATTTAGTAGCCAGGAAATGTCACGGATGGACTTATTGCACAGGTGACAACTTATCACGGTACCACGCTTGTAGTCACTGAGCTCCTGAGAGCGACCCATTCTTTCACAAATGTCTGTAGAAGCGTCTGCATGCCGAGGTGCCTCATCCTATACACCGGGGGCCATGGAGGTGATTGGAACATCTCAATCCAATGATTTGGAGGGGGAGGGGCCCAATACTTTTGGCAATATAGTGTATCACTGTATGTCATTCCAGCACTCCTTCAGTGCAGCTTTATGACTCAGGGGCCAACATCTTCCCATATAAAAACACACAACGTTATTTCTTTGTCACTGGCCTCCCGGAGGAACGGGTTGTGTCGGGTGATGGGAGCTGTTTATCCGTGTGGTTGCTCTGGTGTTTGGCTAGTGAGGTCTTGAAGTGGAAGCCCCTCCCGCACTGTGCGCAGGAATAAGGCCGCTGCCCCGTGTGAGTCCGCTGGTGCAAGACAAGGCTGGACTTTTGGATGAAACGCTTGTCGCAGTCGGGGCAGCAGTAAGGCCTTTCCCCCGTGTGAATCCGGAGGTGCCGGGTCAGGTCAGAGTTTTTCAGGAAGGCCTTCCCGCATTCCGAGCAGGAGAACGGCTTCTCCCTGCTGTGATACTTCTGATGCTTGCTGAGGCTGGACTTTGAGACGAACCTCTTCCCGCACTCGGCGCAGTCGAAGGGCATGTCACCGATGTGGACCCTCAGGTGAGCTTGCAGGATGGTATTGTTGACGAAGCTTTTCCCGCATTCGGGGCAGCTGAAGGGCTTCTCCCCCGTGTGGGACCTCTGGTGGGTGACCAGGTGGGCGTTCTTGATGAAGGACTTCCCACACACGGAGCAGGCGAACGGGCGCTCGCCGGTGTGGATGCGCTGGTGGGTGACCAGCTGCGAATTGTAGAGGAAGCACTTGCCGCACTCTGAGCAGGAATACGGCTTCTGGCCGGTGTGAATTTTACGGTGTTTGATGAGCTCGGCGTCGGTCTCGAAGCTTTTCCCACAGCCGCAGCAGCCGTACGGTTTACCGTCACTCGGGATTTCGGCGGTGAGGGAGTTCTCGGCCGGGCGTTGACGGGAGCGGGAGGAACGGTCTCTACGGTCAGAAGAAACCTTCTGACATGCAGAGCTGTTTGAGCGGGGGAGGTGTTCCTCAAATGGCACCTCCTTAGTATGAGCAGATGAAGATTGGGTACGATGAGTGGGTGTGGAGAAGTCAGCTTGGGGGGGATGTTCTTCAGTTGGGAGGGGCTCCTTCTTAAGATGGACTTCTTCAGTCACTTCATTGTCATGAAGATCTCCTAAAACAAAAAAGTGACCTTGTTCAACAATCTGCATCACAAATGTTATTATTACAGCAATGTGGGTTCTACGCCCCATCCCCCACTCCGGTCCATACACCTAGAAGTATGAAAATGATCCTTACCCGGTGATGTGAGGGGCGGCCGGTCCTCCATCACCACGTCCTTGTAGAGATCCCGGTGTTCTTCTAGATACTCCCACTCCTCCATGGAGAGATAGACAGAGACATCCTGACACCTTATAGGAACCTGACACACACAATGATACAGTCACCATCCAGACACACCCCTTGTCTGTTCCTGGATCATGTCCCAGAATTCCCGGCACCGCTCACCTCTCCTGTCAGCATCTCAATGATCTTCTGGGTGACTTCTAGGATCTTCTTGTCGTGGTTTATATCAGGTCTCATGGAGGGAGGAGGAGGATCCATGATGGTGCGCTGGCTTCCTTCTGACACGTCTGAACAGTTGCTGGTTGTGATATGATCACCCGGCTTCTTCACAGGTCCGTAATCCTAAAGTAGGGAAACGGGTTTAATGCCCTTTACAAATACCTCATCTGTCCGGTCAGGTCTGTGTTTTATGAATAGAGATAAGAGTGATGTCATGTGACCTCCCAGAATCCTCCTCACCTCTCCGGTCAGGTCTGTGTTTTATTAATAGAGATCAGAGTGATGTCATGTGACCTCCCAGAATCCTCCTCACCTCTCCGGTCAGCAGGTAGATGATCTCCAGAGTCAGGTTTAGGATCCTCTCAGTCGTGTGTCTCTGCTCCTTCTTCATCGCTGCCGGAGGACTTCCTGTGAATGAGAAAACTCTTCAATACATTTACTGACATCCGACTTCTCGCTTCTACTAGAAATAGAATTACAGACAATTTGTTTAGGAACAAAGCAAGAGAACCAACCCGATGGATAGGGGGAGGGGAGGGGACGGGGGATGGAGCAGGGTTTGTATGCCGGGTATGAAATTAAACGCGGATACCTTCTGATCACCAAAATGATATTCTGTATCTTGTGATCGGCTGATTGTCGGGGGAGGAGCTATAATGGGCCCGGCCAGGAGCAGATCATCCGAGGGAACTGCTGACATCTATGGATGACCCGGAAGCGGAGAGATGCCTCTGATGGAACAGAACCGAACAATCTATTCAGTGATTATAGAATACAATACAGAGGGATACAAATAATAGAATATAAATGTTAGAGAATAGGTGCAGGTACTCACCCCCCTCCCCCCCTGGGTCACCCTTGTCTCCACCCCTGACCCTTCACCCCTCAGATCACCCCGATTCCTGCACCTTCACCCCTCAGATCATCCCCAACATCTCCAATCTTTGAATAGCCAGCCCAAACGTGACAGCCGGGTACTGTGGTGGTGTGCAGTACTGGTTAGATTAGGGAGATTAGAACGTACTGAGTGCATTAATGCACCAATAATGTCCCCCCCAAAAAAACAAGAGACCCCCCCAGTAGCACCCAGAACTCTAGCGGAGTGTCGGGAAATGTGACTCGGCTGGAGGACCTCCGATAGTGAATGAGTGCCTCTCCGCTCTACCATTGCTCGGTGTGGCCGACCTACCTGACCGGTGGCGGAGGTGGCGGCGGAGTATCGGTGTGTTCCAGCTGAGAGATCTCCCTCTGTATATATATAATATGGAATCTATAACCTGCTCCCCCCTTCCTTCCCCCACACTGCAAATCACATTGATCCCAATCTGCTTCTCCTTCCTCCCCACTCCACTAAGACCACTTCTCCGGCATCATCTACTACTGCCTGGCCATTATTTCCCTGAAAGGTCGAGGAGCATGCTGGGAACTGGAGCTCAGCCCGGAGAATGGGAATGAGCGGACTACAGCACCCACAATGCATTGCAGAGCTCACTTCCGCCTCGGGGAGAGCAGCACTTCCGGGTAGGCTGCCCTACTTTAATGTCTATGTGCGCCCTCGTGTGGTCAGTGTGAGAAACTGCAGCGTGTGTAATGGATGATTCTGCAGTCATGGGGCTGATATAGCGCCACTGCCATCTTGTGGCGGCTTTGCTAACTGCAGGTGAACCAAGATTTATTATTATTAATATTATTTAGGTTAAATAATAAAATGTTGTTGTTCTATTAACACTAATACAAATATTAGAAAGAATTGCAGAATTTTTGTATGAGGTTATTTTAATCTGATTTAATATTAAGTGCCAACCCCGAAAAATGTTTTTACTCCCATCAATTAAAATATAATCTCTTATATGTAACCTCTTAGTCTTATATTTGGCCTCCGTCCTTCCCTTCAGTCTTATATCTGACCTCCGTCCTCCCCTTCAGTCTTCTATCTGGCCTCCGTCCTCCCCTTCAGTCTTCTATCTGACCTCCGTCCTTCTCTTCAGTCTTATATCTGACCTCCGTCCTCCCCTTCAGTCTTCTATCTGACCTCCGTCCTTCCCTTCACTCTTCTATCTGACCTCCGTCCTCCCCTTCACTCTTCTATCTGACCTCCGTCCTCCCCTTCAGTCCTGCACAGTTGTACCGACTCCTCTTCCTCTGATATCACTGCACACTGGGAGCTTCTCACAATGAGCATTAGAAGCTGCAGTGAGATTCAGACCTGAACTCTATGGTCACAACCATTAATGTTATGTTTGGCGGGAAGTTAACAAGGCCTATGAAGAGAAGCACACCATCCCTACTGTGAAGCACGGTGGGGGATCTCTGCTGTTATGGGGGATGTAAGCTACAGCGGCACGAGGGATTTAAACAAAACTTATAACAAGACGAAAAGGCAGCCCATTATCAGAATTATTTAATTGCCCTGAAAGCTGCGTATGGGGAGCATCTGGACTCTCAAACATGATGAGACTAAGAACTGAAACATGAGGCCAACTTGACCCTTCCGTGGCTGCAGCAGAACATTCTGGAGCGCCCATCACAATCTTCCGTCCTCAACATCATTGAGCTGCTTTGGGGAAAGCCTCCAACATGCTGCTGATGCTTGAGAACCAAAGAAGTTACAGGACCTGGATGAAGAACGGGCAGCTTTACCACATGTGGGTGGGATTGTGGGCGGACTTTTTGGCCTTTCAATCACGGTGGGCTGGAACAGACCCAGGGGAGCTCCGGACCTGTCAATCAAACTTGGCCCTGTTAGTGGGCGGGACAAACCAGGGGGCCTGAGATGTCCAGGACCTCCCACCGTAGCCAGCGGTGACGGGTTTATCTTGCCTCTGGTGTGTTTCTTCAGCTGTGGCGTGTTTCTGATGACTGTGGGACCGGCACTGAGCCTCGTAACACCGGGAAGCTGCAACAAGCTAGAGACAGGAAATCATGAACCAGGCCACATCCTGCATGAAGAACCCGGAAGGTGTACAACGTTTAATCTCATGGGGTGTCATGTCAATAAAATCAATCAATAAATGTAAACATCAAATATAAATCAAGTCACTTTATTGGGAGGCCAACGTTACAGCCAAGGACATTGTAGAGTCATGTTCCATCAGTACACACAGGCTGGGAATCTCCATCACTGCGCCCTGTGACCATTGAAGAACGAGCAAGTTAGGTTGCAGGGAAAGTTCTCCTGTCAGTCCGTCAAGTCCACAAGGTGGCTTCATAATTTACTTCTTTGCTGTTCCATATTTGTTTTGTTAGTTAATAAAGTTACAAAAAGCGAATGACGTCCATCGAGTTCAACTTCTCACGACTCTCAGCAAATGGAAGAAACTCCACCCCTCCAAAGATCCCATCCTGACCCATCAAGTTCAACTTCTCACGACTCTCAGCGGCTTTAGTCCAAAGGAAGGGAACTCCACCCCCTTCAAACGATCCCATCCTGACCCACCGAGGACACGCTCACGTTCCACAGAGAGGTCCGACGTGCTCCCTTTAGGATGATGTTCTGAAAGCTTCAAAGTGAATTTGTAGAGGAGGCGGGCCGCCATCAGACTCCGGCACTTGTATCTTATCTCCGTAGTGGTTCCTCTGGGGCGTGTTGAAGCCACCGAAAGCCTACATGAGCGTGGACTCCTCTCCACCCACCGCTCACATCTTGGTGACTGTGCACCCGTCCGGCAGCCCCTCATTGGCTAGTGGGAGGTGGAAGGGGCGTGCCTCTGCTCTGTCTGAATTTGCATATACCTTCAGAAGCTCTTTAGGATGGCGAAATAAAAGCGACTTCGTCGTTGTGACGGAATCAATTACGGGAAAAGTCGCAGTAAACATTTCCAAACATCTAGGCCAGGGGTGGCCAAACTCCGGCTGTGGTGGAACTACAAATCCCAAGAGTCTCACAGGCATGACTCACGGAGAGAGATGCATCATGGGGTGTGTAGTTTCACCGCAGCTGGAGGTCCGGAGTGTGGCTACCCCTGACCTAGGCCAGGGGTAGGAAACCTTGGCTCTCCAGCTGTGCGGAAACTACAAATCCCATGATGCATTGCAAGCCACAGGCATGACTCCCAGAGGCAGAAGCATGATAGGATTTGTAGTTTCACCACAGCTGGAGAGCCAAGGTTGCCTACCCCTGATCTAAGCGGACTCATGGCTCTTTTGCCGGCCGTAGGTGCTCTTCCTTCCTTCCCGAGCTGTCCATATCCAAGCAAAGTCTAAACAAACTTTATTGCTGGTAGAACAAGATCACAAAGAAAGACTCCGACGTGTTTCAGAGGGGCTCAGTCAGGAAAGTTACTGAAGCCCCCAGCCGCTCACAGCACAGATTTATATCACTTTCACTTCTGGAATGAATGTATGAGGAAAGGATACGCCGCTGTTCTATCGAAAGCTCCAACTTATCGAGATCTCCAACTACCTCACTCAGAAAGACTGGAGCTCGGTGCAGTTGCGGTGCGCACGCGTGCGTAGCGTTGTCAGAATACTCCTCGAGTTTTGCCACCTGCTGAATATTGCTACAATGCAGCTGTACAGAAGCTCCGCCAGTCTTTGTGTTTTGCAGTCTAACGCCGTCTGGTCGAACTCTCCAACTTGCAAGTACCCGGCCGTGAGGTAGTTGGAGATTTCGACGAGTTGGAGGTTTCGATAGAACACCGGCTCTGATCAGATCCGGACTCTTTCTGAGTTTTTTTTACTGCAATGCTGAAAAGTCCTCAAAGCCCAACACTGTACCCCCAATAATATCCAGCTCCAGGTGGAGACATTCCTTTCAGTGTCTACATCCCCACCACAGGTTGTTCCCTCAATAGTATCCACACCCTGGTACAGATAAACTTTGATCATCAGTGTTTACATCCCTGCGGTGACCATAATGAGGCCCGGTCACTCCCATTCTGGGAATAGGGGTTCACACTGAGTAACATCACTCTGATAAGAGTGATGTTAGAACAGGAGGGTCAGTAATCGGCCCGTGATGATCTGCATGACCAGCGAATGGCTATTAGCCATTGTAACCAGCACTGAGCAGTAACATGGACATTCCATTGAACTCCACTAAAGGTGAACTATGAGGTGAGTGAAAATCACTCATCATCATAGTTGGAGCCGACGTGTGACAATGAAACTGTCACACGTCGGGTCTATAGATCGAGAAGTGAGAGAACGCATATTGTCACTCGCTCACTTCTCGATCCTGTGCCTGCAGAGAGCCGTGACTGTCACTCATGCAGGGACTCCCCGCTCCGATCCTCCAGCGCTGACTGGTGGAATGGACGGGGGAGGGGGCGGGTACAGCTGGCTCTGCCTCTAGATAGGCAGAGCCAGCTGTCAAGTCACGCAGCTGGGCGGATCTCCACAGTAATGTCGGGATGCGTCCCGGCTAGCGGCGGTCTCAGTATACCGCGAGCTGTAGTTTGCTATATACTGAGATTTGGGTGACGGGAGGACGCAAGTTTTTGTCCTCACATTACCCTAAGGAGAACTATGGGGAAAAACACTGACCCCATAGTCCTCCTTTAAACTAAAGCTCGCCATCATAGATCAGCGCTTGAAAACCAGAGGTTCAGTATGGTACAAAATCAGGAGGAATACACAGACTCGGGGTTAGCGATCTATATTATCACTGAGGGATTAAAGTCGTTTCATACAACTTCCATTACTACAGCTGTGTCTGAGCTAGGGCAATACCAAGCGTGTACAGAAATGTATAAGAGAATACCAATCAGTTCGACACCCAACATGACTATGTCATACTATGCAGAAGACAAACAAGTCACATGACAGATTCCAGGCGATGTATGCATCCGGCTATATCATTTTTAGCATGATTCTGTTCTGCAGTCAGGAAGGTCTGGCAGACAGCCACGTGCTAGAGTCTGGCTTTGTGATCTTGAACTACTAACAATAAAGTTTGTTCAAGGAAAAAAAAAAAACAAGGTGAAGTGCAACTTTATTTGCTCGGCTGGTCCCACGGCCACAAGCCATTCCAGTCCGGTGCTGTTGTCCAGTGGAACTCTGCTGGCCCGGTACAATGGACGGATCGGCATTACAGTATGCAAATGTAAAGAGACAAGATGGCTGCCCTCGTGTAGGCGGTGTTAAGACTTTAAAAGGTTTATAAAAGCTGAACACGTTAATATACAATATATATCATGATATTATCTGCTACAAGTGGATAAAATCCCTTTCAGTGGCCTCGATACATCAAGCTGCAAGAGCACGTTAAGCACGCTGATGGTATGCTCATGTAGCCCCAGCAGGGGGCGAAATGCGTTAGAAGGGGGTGGAGTCTCCTCAACAGTGCTGGAATAATAAAGTTGTTTCTATGCCAACAGAGCGCAGCTTCCTCTTATAGTATGAGGCCTCTCAGCACTCCTTCAGTGCAGCTTGATGACTCCGGGCCAACATCCTCCCATATAAACACACAACGTTATTTCTTTGCCGACGCCGGCACTGGCCCCCCGGAGGAACGGGTTGTGTTGGGTGATGGGAGCTGTTTATCCGTGTGGTTGCTCTCGTGTTTGACTAGTGAGGTCTTACAGTGGAAGCCCCTCCCGCACAGTGCGCAGGAATAAGGCCGCTGCCCCGTGTGAGTCCGCTGGTGCAGCAGGAGGTTCGACCTTTGGATGAAACGCTTGCCGCAGTCGGAGCAGCAGTAAGGCCTTTCCCCCGTGTGAATCCGGAGGTGCCGGGTCAGGTCAGAGTTTTTCAGGAAGGCCTTCCCGCATTCCGAGCAGGAGAACGGCTTCTCCCTGCTGTGATACTTCCGGTGTTTGGTGAGCCGGGACTTTGACACGAAGCACTTCCCGCAGTCGGCGCAGTAGAAGGGCTTGTCGCCGCTGTGGACCCTCAGGTGGGCCCGCAGGACGGCGTTGGTGACGAATCTTTTCCCGCATTCGGGGCAGCTGAAGGGCTTCTCCCCCGTGTGGGACCTCTGGTGGGTGACCAGGTGGGCGTTCTTGATGAAGGACTTCCCACACACGGAGCAGGCGAACGGGCGCTCGCCGGTGTGGATGCGCTGGTGGGTGACCAGCTGCGAGTTGTAGAGGAAGCACTTGCCGCACTCCGAGCAGGAATACGGCTTCTGGCCGGTGTGGATTTTACGGTGTTTGATGAGCTCGGCGTCGGTCTCGAAGCTCTTCCCACAGCCGCAGCAGCCGTACGGTTTGTCGTCACTCGGGATTTTGGCGGGGAGGGAGTTCTCGGCCGGGCGTTGGCCGGATGCAGAGGAAGGGTCTTGGCGGCTAGTAGAAACCTTCTGACTCTCAGAGCTGTCCGAGCGGGGGAGGTGTTCCTCAACTGAGAGGGGCACCGCCTTAGTATGAGCAGAAGAAGGTTGGTTACGATGGGTGGGTGTGGAGAAATCAGGTTGGGTGGGATGTTCTCCAGTTGAGAGGGGGACCACCTTAGTATAAGCTGATCCAGGTTGGGTATGATGGGTGGGGAAGGAGACAACAGGTTGGGTGGGATGTTCTCCAGTTGAGAGAGGCTCCTCCTTAGTATGAGTGGATGAAGGTTGAGTATGATGGGTGGGTGTGGAGAAGTCAGGTTGGGTATGATGGGTGGGTGTGGAGAAGTTAGATTGGGTGGGATGTTCTCCAGTTGAGAGGGGCTCCTCCTTAGTATGAGCAGATGAAGGTTGGGTATGATGGGAGGGGAAGGAGACAACAGGTTGGTGGGGATATTCTCCAGTTGAGAGAGGCTCCTTCTTAATATCATATTGTGTTGGGTCTGTAGGTGGGGGGAGGTCAGAGCGGGACACATGTCCTTCAGCTGAGAGATGCTCCTCCTTCACAATAGTAAGATGGACTTCTTCAGTCACTTCACTGTCATGAAGATCTCCTAGAATAAAAGTCATCGCGTTCAACAATCTACATCACAAACCGGAGTCTATATCTCATCCTCCACGCCAGTCCATATACGAAAAATGATCCTTACCCGGTGATGTGAGGGGCGGCCGGTTCTCCATCACTACGTCCTTGTAGAGATCCCGGTGTCCTTCTAGATACTCCCACTCCTCCATGGAGAAATAGACAGAGACATCCTGACACCTTATAGGAACCTGACACACACAATGATACAGTCACCACCCAGACACATCCCTTGTCTGTTCCTGGACCATGTCCCAGAATTCCCGGCACCGCTCACCTCTCCTGTCAGCAGCTCCATGATCTTCTGGGTGACTTCTAGAATCTTCCTGTCTTGGTTTCTATCAGGTCCCAGAGAGGGAGGTGGGGGATTCATGATGGGGCTCTGGGTCCTGCTTCTTCCTCCTGACACACTCGAACAGTTGCTGGTTCTTATATGATCGCACGGCTTCTTCACAGGTCCGTAATCCTAAGTAGAAAAATGGGTTTTAAGTACTTTACAAAGACCTCAACCCCCCGATCAGCTGTGTGTTTTATAATAGAGATCAGAGTGATGTCATGTGACCTCCCAGAATCCTCCTCATCTCTCCGGTCAGCTCTGTGTGTTTTATAATAGAGATCAGAGTGATGTCATGTGACCTCCCAGAATCCTCCTCAACTCTCCGGTCAGGTCTGTGTGTTTTATAATAGAGATCAGAGTGATGTCATGTGACCTCCCAGAATCCTCCTCACCTCTCCGGTCAGGTCTGTGTTTTTATGAATAGAGATAAGAGTGATGTCATGTGACCTCCCAGAATCCTCCTCACCTCTCCGGTCAGCAGGTAGATGATCTCCAGGGTGAGCTGTAATATCCGGTCTCGCTGGTATTTTCTTCCCTTCTCCATTATCGGATGAATGGCGGATCGGCTGTGCGGAGAATTCTCTCTTTCATATGTTGATCTGTACAGAAGACACGATTTAACCACCAGGATTTACAAGATGTTACATCTGATGACAGACTGAAGGGCTGGATACAGTTTGTGTTGTACAATTATATACGATGGTGTGTCTCTAGAACGCTGCGAGTGAACAGGGAGCTCATGTGACCCCTGAGAGAAATAAGCACAGAATGAACAGGCTGCAGGTGTGATGTGCTGATAGGGGAGCTCGCAGCGGCTGCCCAACTCGCTTCTCTCCATTGACTGTAATGTCCGCCCGCATTCTCCACCTTTTGATTGAAGAGACTCCCTCTGGTGTAGATGTGTTGTGGGTGACAGGGATGCTGGGGGTGCCATATCTCCCATCTCTTCCCCTACACAGGTCACATCATCCCTATCCACTGCAATGACCGGAAGCCTATTGAACGGACTCCCTCTGATAACAGTAGATGTGTGACGGGGATGCTGGGGGTGCTATAAGTCCCACCCCATCTATACCAGACACCTCATCTCTACCCAGTGCAATAGCCGGGCCAATTTCTTTGACTCCCTCTGTTAATAGCGGATGCGTGATAGAGATGCTGGGGGTGCCATATCGCCCATCTCTTCCCCTACACGGGTCACATCATCTCTATCCACTGCAATGACCGGAAGCCTATTGAACCCTCTGATGCAGGTGTGTGACAGGGATGCTGGGGGTGCCATATCTCCCATTTCTTCCCCGCCCACACACAGGGCACTTCCTTTCTACCCATTGCATTCATTGGAGGTCTATTTCTCCGACTCCCTCTGATAATAGAATATGTGTTCTGTGTGACAGGGATGCTGGGGGTGCCATGTCTCCCATTTCCTGACCTATACAGGACAGCGTATGAGGCCTACTTTTTTTGCCCCACCCCCCTTATAATAGTAGACGTGTGGCAGGGATGCTGGGGGTGCCATATCTCCCATCCCCCTCCCCATAATACAAATTGTATTATTATTCAGACTGAGCCAGCGATGAGCTCACTGTCACCGGCTCGGCCATGAGAATCGCCGAGATCAGGTCGTCACCGATGCCATCGAGAGTTGGTGCGATCTTCGCACGCGTGTAATAAATAACAGACGTTACCTCTTGTTACCGCCGGTCAGATCATTGCTGCCGCCCCCCTCTCCATAATAAATCAACAGACGAGGTTTACGGTCGCCTTCCCAGCTTCAGCCCCCCTCTTTCTGCCTCCATCTGCTGTAATTCTCTGGCATCCTCTAGCACTGCCTGGCACTTCTTTTCACCTTTAAAGGTGAGAGGGATTATGGGAAGTGCAGTCCGTTTCTATCTAAACTGACCAGAGGCGTATTAGCGGCTCACTACGTGACCCACAATGCACTGCGGCACCAGTTTCCGGCGACCTCCGTCTTTTGCGTTCCAAAGCATTTCCTGCTTGCGTTCCACAGCCTCAGCTTCCGGGCCAGGCGTCCTTGGTGGAGACCGCGGCTGGTGTACAGTGGCGCTGCCCTGCTGCCCTCGTGTGACCACTTTGAGAACTGCAGCGCATGTACGACACCCTATAGCTCAGTGCTGCCGCCTTGTGGCCATTTTGGTAACTGCACCCCGGCCATTGCGCAGGTAGAAAATAGCAAAAATAAAAGAAGAAATCTATTTTTATTTACTCACATCGGGTGAAATGAACATTTCTAAGTTTAAATTTAATTGTTATTATAGCTGAAGAATATTTGGCAATAATAAACCTAGACAGGACCAGTAACCATGACACCATGTGACGAGGATACTCATGATATTGATGACTAGACATGTGAAAGCCTCTAAACCTGAACTAAAGTTTTTTTTTTAAACATTTGAGTGATTTTTTTTGTGCATTTTAGGTTCAGTTATCTGACGGAAGGTGAATCCAGTCTCAGCAACCAACCCCCCCTATGCGGTGGTTTCTACCAGTGGCCATTATGTCACTACAGGACTCATTGACCATCAGGTGGAACCATGGCGACCAGCGGGGGGAGTAAAATAGGAATGGTGCACATATCTGTGCTAGAGAGTGAAGAATGCTAGAAGAAGGGACAGCCTGTGTGCGCCTAGCTAAGCCCTGCCCATTACCTGTTACGTGTGACTCCAACCAGCCAATGGTGGCAAAGAGATGCGCATTTGGTAGGATTCCGTTTAGATTGCAAGCTCTCTGTAGCAGGGCCGTCTCAAACCTCTTGTATGGAGGTGTGTTGGCCGTCCGATGTGTTCTCTGAGCTAATAATTGCAGGAACTAGACTCCGTACAGCACTGCGATATATAATAGTGTGTGACTGTGGGGGGGGAGGGGACATTAGAGGGTAAGCTCCTCTGTACAGAGACTGATGTGACTGTGGGGGGAGGGGACATTAGAGGGTAAGCTCCTCTGTACAGAGACTGATGTGACTGTGGGGGGAGGGGACATTAGAGGGTAAGCTCCTCTGTACAGAGACTGATGTGACTGTGGGGGGAGGGGACATTAGAGGGTAAGCTCCTCTGTACAGAGACTGATGTGACTGTGGGGGGAGGGGACATTAGAGGGTAAGCTCCTCTGTACAGAGACTGATGTGACTGTGGGGGGAGGGGACATTAGAGGGTAAGCTCCTCTGTACAGAGACTGATGTGACTGTGGGGGGAGGGGACATTAGAGGGTAAGCTCCTCTGTACAGAGACTGATGTGACTGTGGGGGGAGGGGACATTAGAGGGTAAGCTCCTCTGTACAGAGACTGATGTGACTGTGGGGGGAGGGGACATTAGAGGGTAAGCTCCTCTGTACAGAGACTGATGTGACTGTGGGGGGAGGGGACATTAGAGGGTAAGCTCCTCTGTACAGAGACTGATGTGACTGTGGGGGGAGGGGACATTAGAGGGTAAGCTCCTCTGTACAGAGACTGATGTGACTGTGGGGGGAGGGGACATTAGAGGGTAAGCTCCTCTGTACAGAGACTGATGTGACTGTGGGGGGAGGGGACATTAGAGGGTAAGCTCCTCTGTACAGAGACTGATGTGACTGTGGGGGGAGGGGACATTAGAGGGTAAGCTCCTCTGTACAGAGACTGATGTGACTGTGGGGGGAGGGGACATTAGAGGGTAAGCTCCTCTGTACAGAGACTGATGTGACTGTGGGGGGAGGGGACATTAGAGGGTAAGCTCCTCTGTACAGAGACTGATGTGACTGTGGGGGGGGGGGGATTAGAGTGTAAGCTCCTCTGTACAGTGACTGGCTCAGTGTGCTCTGTACAGCGCTGCGGTCTATGTCGGTGATATATAACACACGGCAGACTTCTTACAATGAATCTCTTTTATTACAGAATAATCTTACAGGAAACATCCGTCCGCCTCTTCCTAACAATCAGGTGACCGGTGGGGAGAGGGGAGGCGTCTCGTCTTGTTCATTCAGTTGCTTCGGCAACCAATCAGATGCCATTTTGTTTGAGTCCTAGTCAGCTGTGATTGGCTCCTGCCCTCTGCTCCTCTCGCCCCTCCTTCCCAATCAGCCCCCCAGAGTAGAGGTCCCTCCCCCGCACCTCCAGGACACTGCAAGGCAGAGCAGCTAGACTTTGTGAATAGAGCTCTACGTTCCCTTAGACCTTGACAGGCTCCTGAAGTGTCCTTTGGCATGTGTCGGGAATGCAGACACGGTGGAGTCCCGATTTCATTAGGCACAATGAACACGTCAAGAGCCAGTACGGCCATGACGGAACAACACTAAACTGCTCTGCGACGCCCCGGGAAGGAAGAGCTGTTCAAGGCAACATGGACAATAAAGAGAAGCTCCGCCCCTCATTGAAAGCTAAAATGAAGCTGATGCCATGGTAACCAATTCTTGTTTTAATAGGCATTCCCTGACCTCTACATGTCATGTGTCTGCGCCCACCTTCCTATTAAAAACACAGTGAAAGCCCTCAAAGCATCATGGGAGGGGAACCTCCACACCTGAGCCAACCCAACAGCTCGGGATTCTGTTACCTGGTGACATCACCATACCATAGAGAGGTCAGTCCCCTGAGGAGACCTTCCCCACCGGTCCAGCTCTATGCCAGAGCTTGGTCGGTCATGTGCCCCCATCACAACCACTGGCCACCTGATCTTCTGCAAGTCCCTCCTACACTAATGTAGCTGCATGGGCCTGCGACCACCAACCATCACTCATTATCCCAGCCCCCGAGATTGCTGATGGTGACGGGGCTGAAGATGGGATGGTCCTCAAGCACCATGCTTCCAAAAGGTAGGTGATTGGGGGTATCTGATACAAATGTAGTCTCGGAAGCCTACTGCCTTCTTGCTGATTGGCCAACAACTGCCTGGGTGGTCCCAGTACCAGAGGTAGGTGACTGGGCTATCTGACACAAGTATAGCCTTAGAAGCCTACTGCCTTCTTGCTGGTTGGCCACCAACTGCCTGGGTGGTCCCAGTACCAGAGGTAGGTGACTGGGGTATCTGACACAAGTATAGCCTTGGAAGACTACTGCCTTCTTGGTGGTTGGCCACCAACTGCCTGGGTGCTCCCAGTACCAGAGGTAGGTGACTGCGGGTATCTGACACAAGTATAGCCTTAGAAGCCTACTGCCTTCTTGCTGGTTGGCCACCAACTGCATGGGTGGTCCCAGTACCAGAGGTAGGTGACTGGGGTATCTGACACAAATATAGCCTTGAAAGCCTACTGCCTTCTCGCTGGTTGGCCACCAACTGCCTGGGTGGTCCCAGTACCAGAGGTAGGTGACTGGGGGTATCTGACACAAGTATAGCCTTGGAAGCCTACTGCCTTCTTGCTGGTTGGCCACCAACTGCCTGGGTGGTCCCAGTACCAGAGGTAGGTGACTGGGGGTATCTGACACAAGTATAGCCTTGGAAGCCTACTGCCTTCTTGCTGGTTGGCCACCAACTGCCTGGGTGGTCCCAGTACCAGAGGTAGGTGACTGGGGGTATCTGACACAAATATAGGCTTAGAAGCCTACGGCCTCTCCCTGGTTGGTCATCAGGCTCCTTGCCCACAAGGCCGGCTTCGGACACATAGGGCAGTGTGGGCCCCCTTCATGGCAAGGGTAAGTGGCAGCTCTCAGGACTTGCACTTATCTTAAGGCTTTCCTTATAACCAGCATGTTGCCTCTAGAAACTACCAAAGACACTCAGAACTAGCGTTCTCCTACACGGGCAGAACATAGACCATCTCGGTCCTCTCAAGGAAGCTGACTTCCGAAGTGTGCCTCATCCTTCCGCCTCGGATCATACTATGTTGCGCTTCACGTATTCACAGTTGACTAAAGGCGACAAGGGTTCCAGAGACGATGGCGGCAATGTCTGCAACAGGGGTGCGGGCAACGACTGTGGGGGCAACAACGTTGGCGGTGGTGAGGACAACGTTAACAAAGATGCGGCCAGTGGAGGCGATGGTGGCGGTGGAGGGACCTTGTGGCTCTTCTGGTGGTGGACCAGTTTAAACTTTGTCTCGTAGTAGACGCCGCAAGTCCGGCAGGTGAAGCGCCGCTCCCTGGTGTGGATCCGCTGGTGGGCCTCCAGGTTGGCCTTGGTGTAGCAGCCCTTCAGGCAGATGGAGCACATGAAGGGCTTCTCGCCCGTGTGAATGCGTCGGTGGACGGCGAGGTAGTAGGTGCTGACAAAGTACTTCCGGCAGATCTCGCAGTACGGGTTCTCGCCCCGGTGGCTGCGCTGGTGCTCCACCAAATAAGTCTTTGTGGTGAAGCCCTTACCGCACTCGGTGCAAGGGTATGGCTTCTCCGGCCCGTGAGTCTTCTGGTGGCTGAGCAGGTGGGCGTTTTGGGTAAAAGCCTTCCCGCACTTGTGGCACACGAATGGCCGCTGACCCGTGTGGCGCTTTAGGTGCTGGGAAAGGTTTGCGAATTGGGAGAAGCACCTGCCGCACTCCGAGCACGGATACGGCTTCTCCCCCGTGTGACTACGCTGGTGGATGACCAGCTCCGCCCTGGTGATGAACGACTTGCCGCATTCGGTGCAGGCATAGGGCTTTACGCCCGTGTGGATCTTGCGGTGTCTCATGAGGCCGCGCTGGTAAGAGAAGCACTTGCCACACTCGGCGCAGGCGTACGGCTTGCTCCCCGTGTGAGTCTGCTCGTGTTTGGAGAGCTGCTCACTGTCGGGAAAGCGCCGGCCGCAATCGCCGCAGGTGAACAGCTCCTCGCCGCTGTGGATGGCCTGGTGTTTGAGGAGGTTGGCATTGCTGGTAAAGCTCTTGCCGCACTCCGAGCAGAAATGGGGCTTCTCTTCGGGGTGGACGGCCTGGTGGTGGTCATCGAGTTCTGAGACGGTGGAAAAGGACAGGCCGCACTCCGAGCATATATACGCCTCCTCCCCGGAGTCGGCTGGCGAGTTCATATACGGCCCGCCACCGTACCGCTGCCCTTCGGTATCATATTTGGACTCGGCTTCATCGTTCTCGCTGAGTGTCCCCTCGTCGCTCGAGTCCGACTCCTCCTTAAGGTCGGAAAGTGAATCCTGAACCGGATCCATCGGGTGGGGAAGAAGTTCTGCTCCGTCAGCCCAGAAGGGTTCCTCCTTAATATCAGAAGACATCAAGGACATGGGTGGAGAATTGTCCATCTGCCCCACATCTTCTTCTTTAGATGAGGGAAGTTCTTCCTTCATGTGATTGGTCGCCCTCTGGGAATCGGAGGTCGTATCAAGATCAGCGCTTTGGAACGGCTCTCCTTGACACCAGGCAGGTTCTTCTTTAACGTTAGTAGTAGACTGGGAAGGACTTGATGGCAGATCTTCCTCCTCCTTAATAGGAGCTGACTTCTCCTCATCATCTTCTGGACTGTGGAGGTCGGTAGGATGATCGTAAGGTAAAGTCCTATCGGGGTTTGGAACACCTTCACATGAGGTCTCGTTGGCACCATCCGGCCTTGGAGTCCCATCACATGTGGGGCTGAGAAGAAGACTCCCATCTTCATTCTTACAATCCGGAGATGGAGGACGATCAAGGTTGGGTTGTCCCGACGATGGATCTGTTGGAAGGAAAGCCATCGTGGTGAGAGGATGGAGACAAGGAACCGGAGAACATACAATAGCCGCACCCCTACTGATGGACATTATGAAGAGGGTCACACAAGGGCAGTAGGGATTCTGCAGTAGGATGAGGGGGAGCCCACCACCCTCGGGACATCAGATCGATCAAAGAGGCTTCCTCCCTGTGTACTATGGAAAATTGTTATGGGGTAAACTATAGAACAAATGTGAACTAGAGATGTCCCATAACCCTTCCCTGAATACCATAGAAGACCATGGTAAGAAAAAGGAGAAGCCAGTGCTTTTGAACGCTACAGAAAACTCTTGCCGTAAAAAGAGAACCCGGACCCTCAACGTCATCCAGAACAAAGGTTCTTAATAGGCAAGGTGACAGGTTCTCTTACCCCAACACATTTCCTTTCCCTGCACTCCACTATGGCCCTGTTGGAGCTCAAAGTAGAGGAAAGGCCTGTGTTAGATCCATGCCTGAGCTCACACAGGGTCAATGCCTCCCCCACCCGCTCACATGCCACTGCATGGGACTGGTAATTGGCCACTCATCCATGTCAGAACATACACGGGGCCAATGCCTCCCCCACCATCTCACACGGCACTGCTTGGGACTGGCAATTGGCCGCTCAGCCATGCCAGTACTTACACAGGGCCAATGCTCACATGGCACTTGGGAATGGCTATTGGCCACTCAAGGTGCCAACCATTGCATCCTGGGAGGAATAGGTCCCTTGTCCTGCAATGCCTGAAAGTTTTGGGTATTACACAGGGCAGAAGTGGAAAAGTACGCTGGAGGTATCAGTAAAAGAGAAGAGGTAGATAGGGATCAGCAATCATCAGGTAATCGGAGTCCGGGGTCAATTATAAGACGTGATGTGACCTTCCCTACCGAACATTAGCCCAATATTCCCTTTTACCGGCTCATCCCAGACCCGGGCGGCACACACACATCGCACTGACCATATACATCATCATCTCCTCTACAGAGCCCGGACCATTGTCTGCCCTCCTCTTACCCGGAGACAGGGGGAGGGGCAGCCGATTCTCCATCAGGACGTCCTCCTACGCGTGACCTCAAAGCTTGGCCTAGAATCAGAGAATGGATGAGACGTCATATAGTGATGGGCTTGGGCCGCAGAGATCGAGAAATGTCTCCGTTCCAGCGATCGGCACTGCGGCGCTGTCAGCTTCCTGGCGGGCTCAGCACGTGGAGCTGCGAACACGCCCGATGAGAGGGAGGCACGGTCAGTCCCCCCTGTAATAGCAGCACTCAGCGGGGCAAATTCCCCGCCACTCACCCGGTAGCTTCCCGCCGCACACACCGCCCTCCTCTCCTGCAGCGTCCGCCGCTGTCTGTCCCGATCGGAAGTTGCTAATAAAGCACTTCCTGCCCCGTGCGTTCCAGCCAGGCCAGGCTCTGCGAGGGGACGGACGTCACTTCCCGTCTGGCGTTCAGGTGGATTGCTCAGGGATCTCTTCGTGATGCCTGGCCTGCACCTGAGCCGGGGCACCGCAGCGACATCGTGTGGTAATATCAGGAATTACAATCTTATCTTTTTAAAGATGAAACAATAAGATTCATGAGGAGCTGAAGTCAATGACAGTACAGAAGATATACATCAATCTCCTGGTCCACCAGAGGTCCCACCGGGGGGGTTGGGAAGCCATTCTCCTGTGCCGAATGTAAGCAGAGCTTCTCTTGTCAAGTCAACGCTGGTCAGGCACCTGAGGATTCACAGCGGAGAGAAACCCTTTCCTTGCCCCGTGTGCGGCAAATGTCGTTGGCGGCCCACCAAAGATCTCGCACGGGGAGAAATCCTTCGCCTGTCCCGTGTGTGACAAGTCCTTTAGCAGCGGCCAGTACCTCCTCACCCACGGGGAACGGCCCTATCTCTGCCCTGAGTGTGGCAAGTGCTTCAGCAAGAAGCCCGCCCTGGTCATCCACCATCGGATCTACTCAGAGGAGAAGCTCTATGTCTGGACTGCGGCAAATGTTCCATCTGGAGCTACGCCCTTGCCGTTCATCAGAAGATCCATGTGACCGGCAAGCCCTATCCGTGCTGAGTGCGGCAAATTCTACCGGTCAAAGAAGACGTTGATGGCGAACATGAAGTACCATGGCAACGACCATATGATGTCCAAGGATGGGGACTTGGGGCAAGTTCTTAATTGGAAGTGAAGGTGGCCTTTCCCACGGGAGCAGACCTGAAGCTTTGTTGATGAAATGTTCAAGAGATGGTGGGACAATAGAGTCTCGGCTTGCCTTCTATTGACAAAAGGTTTTGGTGGGCTTTGGCATCCCGTGGAACCGGTGAAAAGAGAGAGGGAGCTGCATTCTTGAAGCTTAAGTTAGGTGCCGCCTTGCCATCAAGTAGGTGTTACACCTCCTCTCGCTCATCTCCATTCCCTCTTGCCATATGAAGAGTAGGGATGAGCTCAGCTTTGGTCCGAAAAGTTCACGGAGAGAACTCTTCCGAACCATCATCTGCGGCCGGAACGCAGTGACAACATTGACCTTCTATGACCGCGTGGCTTTATTTGGTCAACGATAATGACCTAATACGGCCATTAAAGGTCAATGACGTCAGCACAAGAACCCCGCCCCTTTATTTATGTGCAGCTCTAATACTGTTTAGGAAGCCTTAGGAGTGGTGTTGATTAGAACAGCGTTCGGTGGGATGTCCTGGGTCGCAGGAGAGCCTGGCCACGCCTTGTGTGTGAGAGCAAGGGGTTGGACTCTCCTGCTGCTACCAACAGGTCACCCCTCCTGAACACTGCTTAGGAAGCCAGAGTGGTGTTGATTAGAGCAGCGTTCGGTGGGCCCACAGGCAAGCTGGGCCGCTCCTTATGTGCGAGAGCAGTGGATCAGGAGCCGGGCCACTAGTGTTCGAGTACAAGGGGTCCGACTCTCCTACAACAAAGCTCAGTACCAGACTCTATAAACCTCCGGGGATGCCGTGTTTACAAAATGGATGTCTCAGAAGCTGCAGCAAGTCACTTAGAGTCCGCCTCATTTCCTGGTAGCAGTAGGACGGTCTGACCCCCCTGCACACAAGCAGCGGTCCGACTCTCCTGCCGGCCAACTCACCCCACCGGACGCTGCTCTAATCAACGTCGCGCCGGACGTCCAGCATCATCTAACCGTCTCCTGTCCAACTTAAATGTCCCAGGCCCGCCCCTTTCTTTCATTGGATTTCAGTTCTTTCAATCATGGGCGGTTTAGCCTGCCTAGGAACGCCCACGCCCCCCCCAGACACCCATTAAAGCGTTTTGATATTTGCATAACTCCTCCCAAGAGCCAGCCCACTACTTGTATCGGGGCTGATGCGGGAAGTGCTGAGGCAGCGTGCTGTGATGTTGTCAGGAAGCCATGTACAGCACACTGCCGGCCCCTCGCACCTGCCACGATCTACCTGCATTGTATAGAGAAGCACAAAGACCCCGACGACAAAATAAGGTATGTAATAAAAAACGTAAAGGTTATATGTAAAAGTTTAATTGACATGTTGATGAGGAAAGGTGGGGGGAGGGGGAGGAACCAGGGAAGGCAACATAGAAGCAGATTAAACTTCAGCTTTCAATGTGTGATGTCGCAGGTCAAGTGTGCTAGCCACCATGGCCTCTGCTATCCCTGATGAACCTTGCACCACAGGAACGAGTGAAGGGTCAGGAGGAATACCTAGGGAAGAATGAACAGGTTGCACTGGTACCCTACAATGGGCCTATCGCCATTTCTATCCAATCGCGTTGCAGTGATGTTTATACAAGGTGTCTGGATTCTGGTCCGGCAGCTTCTACATGCCACAGGTTCCCCACAGCTCCCTTGGTTTCTAATGCAATTGAATGGCTCTGAGATTGAAGTGCCACACCATGGCTAAGGAGAAGACATATGAAAGTAGCAACGCGTTTCGGGGGCCAAAACTCACCCCCTTCATCAAATGAAGTACAGAGTGGCAGCAGGTAGCCGAAGCAGCTTCAACCAGTTGCAGATGAAATGCAGCTTCAACCAGTTGCAGATGAACACTGTACTTTACCACTGCAGATGGTTAAACCCTGGAAAAGAGGGCGTGTTTTGGCCCAGAAATGCGTTGCAACTTTCATACAGGTCTTCTACCTCATTCTACATTAAAATAAATCTGTATCTGGACTAATGACCGGCGGTGTGGCGCGTCAATGTCAGTTCCTTTTAGCAGCCATCGTCCGGGTCCCCCTGCCCCCACTTATAAAGCCACAAGATGTGGGAGAAGGATGGCCAACCAAACAAGCTCTAGAACAATCCCCGGCGCTGCGAGGAAGCAAATATAAAATACAACTTGATAAGAACTTAAGATTTCCTTTTCGAAAAAGGCCAACCAAAGAAACGCGTCTCTTCCAGCGATTATTTAAGGTCCATGAACCTTATGTCCATGATGAGCAGGACGCACTTGGGCAGAGGTCGGGGTGCTGGGGAAAGCACCGTCAGCGTTTGCCTTTCAATGTCCACGCCGCTGATGACGATGAACCCCGCCGCGTTTTTCTCCTCGATGCTTTCATCTGGTAGCCCGCCCTCGAGGGGCACCACGCTGAGCAGGTGGTGGGCCATGTCCCTGCCGGGTGTCACCGGCACCAGCTTCAGCTGATTGTCCTCCTGCGACATGCCCAGGGGAAGGCAGGAGTCGGGGATAGACGGAGCCCCCACTTTGTAGACTTTGACCTCGGAGAACTTCACCTCGAAGGCGTGAGGGTAGAGAGAACCCCGAGCGCCGTAGAAGTACTCCCGCACCCGCTGGTCTCTGGCCTCCCTTCTGCACTCCTTGGACCTCTCCGAGGCGCCGCCGGATTTCGGGAGAAGGACGGTGTGGACGAAGTGCGGGAGGTCGCGGTGGAGGTCGTTGTACAGGCGCTCTTGGTCCAGCACGATCACGACGTCCACCTCGAAAGCAGAGGCGGCGTGAATGATGGCTTGGTAGCCGCCGCCTTTGACCCAGCCGCAGGTGTTAATGATGCAGCCGCTGACCGCTGCTCGGCGATTGGATTCGCATCGCAGGTTGAAGACGTGAGCCAGGCGGGAGGTCAACTGTGGAAGAAGTAAAACAAGGGTCAGAGGTCATATACGGGACATAGGAAAGACACATAGTCCCATGGTACGGGTACTGAGAACTTATTCTTAGGTGAACACCTTACTGCCAAGCTTCATCAGATGCCACCACCATGTGGAGGTCTTTCTAATGGCAGAGCTGGGACCTGCAGTAGAATGATTTCACCAACCCCTGGTGAAGCCACCAGCATCAACCCACAAATGAAACCATTATACTGTATTTCACCCAACCTTCCAATCTGTCTGGATTTGACCATCAAGAAGATGAACAAGCTGGCCATGATGCTAAAAATGTTTTCCCAGATGAAGACAAGCATGGCCACCATACCGCCTTACTATCCATCCCAGGAACGTATTCCATCTCATATACACTATATTCCCTAAAGTATTGGGCCCCTCCCCCTCCAAATCATTGGATTCTGGTGTTCCGTGACATTTCCTGCCTACTAAATATTCCGCGGTCACCTGTTACTGGTATTATAACAAAGTGGAAGCAACTGGGAACAACAGCAACTCAGCCACGAAGTGGGAGGCCACGTAAAATGACAGAGCGGTGTCAGCGCATGCTGAAGCGCACAGTGCGCAGAAGTCGCCAACTGTCTGCAGAGTCAATAGCTACAGACCTCCAAACTTGGTGTGGCCTTCAGATTGGCCACAGATTGGTTGTTTTTCAGGGGTTGGGCTTTGCCCCTTAGTTCTAGTGAAGGGAACTCTTAAGGCATCAGCATACCAAGACATTTTGGACAATTTTATGCTCCCAACTTTGTGGGAGGAGTTTGAGGATGGCCCCTTCCTGTTCCATTTTCTCCTCGATGCTTTCATCTGGTAGCCCGCCCTCGAGGGGCACCACGCTGAGCAGGTGGTGGGCCATGTCCCTGCCGGGTGTCACCGGCACCAGCTTCAGCTGATTGTCCTCCTGCGACATGCCCAGGGGAAGGCAGGAGTCGGGGATAGACGGAGCCCCCACTTTGTAGACTTTGACCTCGGAGAACTTCACCTCGAAGGCGTGAGGGTAGAGAGAACCCCGAGCGCCGTAGAAGTACTCCCGCACCCGCTGGTCTCTGGCCTCCCTTCTGCACTCCTTGGACCTCTCCGAGGCGCCGCCGGATTTCGGGAGAAGGACGGTGTGGACGAAGTGCGGGAGGTCGCGGTGGAGGTCGTTGTACAGGCGCTCTTGGTCCAGCACGATCACGACGTCCACCTCGAAAGCAGAGGCGGCGTGAATGATGGCTTGGTAGCCGCCGCCTTTGACCCAGCCGCAGGTGTTAATGATGCAGCCGCTGACCGCTGCTCGGCGATTGGATTCGCATCGCAGGTTGAAGACGTGAGCCAGGCGGGAGGTCAACTGTGGAAGAAGTAAAACAAGGGTCAGAGGTCATATACGGGACATAGGAAAGACACATAGTCCCATGGTACGGGTACTGAGAACTTATTCTTAGGTGAACACCTTACTGCCAAGCTTCATCAGATGCCACCACCATGTGGAGGTCTTTCTAATGGCAGAGCTGGGACCTGCAGTAGAATGATTTCACCAACCCCTGGTGAAGCCACCAGCATCAACCCACAAATGAAACCATTATACTGTATTTCACCCAACCTTCCAATCTGTCTGGATTTGACCATCAAGAAGATGAACAAGCTGGCCATGATGCTAAAAATGTTTTCCCAGATGAAGACAAGCATGGCCACCATACCGCCTTACTATCCATCCCAGGAACGTATTCCATCTCATATACACTATATTCCCTAAAGTATTGGGCCCCTCCCCCTCCAAATCATTGGATTCTGGTGTTCCGTGACATTTCCTGCCTACTAAATATTCCGCGGTCACCTGTTACTGGTATTATAACAAAGTGGAAGCAACTGGGAACAACAGCAACTCAGCCACGAAGTGGGAGGCCACGTAAAATGACAGAGCGGTGTCAGCGCATGCTGAAGCGCACAGTGCGCAGAAGTCGCCAACTGTCTGCAGAGTCAATAGCTACAGACCTCCAAACTTGGTGTGGCCTTCAGATTGGCCACAGATTGGTTGTTTTTCAGGGGTTGGGCTTTGCCCCTTAGTTCTAGTGAAGGGAACTCTTAAGGCATCAGCATACCAAGACATTTTGGACAATTTTATGCTCCCAACTTTGTGGGAGGAGTTTGAGGATGGCCCCTTCCTGTTCCAACATGACTGTGCACCAGTGCACAAAGCAAGGTCCATAAAGACATGGATGGGGGAGTTTGGGGTGGAGGAACTTGACTGGCCTGCACAGAGTCCTGACCTCAACCCCATAGAACACCTTTGGGATGAATTAGAGCGGAGACTGCGAGCCCCTCCCCCAACATCAGTACCTGACCTCACAAATGGTCCAACATTCCCATAGACACACTCCTAAACCTTGTGGACGTCTTCCCAGAAGAGGCGGAGCTGTTATAGCGGCAAAGGGCGGAGCCAACCCAATACTGAACCCTACGGACTAAGACTGGGATGCCATTAGGGTTCATGTGCGTGTAAAGGCGTCTCAATACTTTTGGCAATATAGTATATGGTTCAATGCTCAGACAGGTCTATAACCATATCTGGCCAACATACATGTCCCGTGTAGAGCCACTGAGGTCCAAGTACAGTAGAGGTCCAAGTACCGTGGACTCATCGGTGGAAATTTGCCAAGAAGCAAGGGTAGCCAGAAGAGTTTTGGAATGTCCCCAAGATGGTGACATGAAAGGGCCCAGACCAGCCAGTGAGTAATCAATAAGGGAATTATAAAATGTCCTTCCTCACCTTGTTGTACAGCTTGATATTGGTCCCCGGTGTAGTGGAGCCGAAGTGATAGACAAGTGGTGCCTGAGTCGAGAACCCTTCCTCTACGTCAGCTGGCCGTTCCACACACAGAGCCCCGACCGTCCCCGGGACCGACACCGAGCCCTGCCCGACATCTAGCTCCACCAAGGCTGGGCGCCGGCCGATCCTCACTCCATAGTTCAAGAGCAGTCGGCAGAGCGTAGATTTACCCACATCGGACGGCCCGGCCACCAGCACCCGGGGCCCGCGCTCTCCTTCCCGCTCCGCTTGCACCCGCATCTGCTCCAGGGCCACGTGGGTGTTGAGGTAGAGCAGCATGGGGGTGTCCTTAGAGACGTAGCCCACGTCCGCACTTCCAAACAGCTGGACGCAGCAACCGTGCCAGGTGAAGACGGCGGCTCGGCTGCCCGGCGGGAACGTGTACTTCTTGTTCTTCACCAGCTCTGTGCCGAACACCTCGGCCTGGCCCGAGACCAACTCCACCTGCACGGGGGCCGAGCCTTCCACCTCCAGCCGGAGCTCCGTCTCCTTCTCCAGCTCAAACTTGGTGGATGGAACGCTGGGGGTGGAGGACGGCCAGGAACTGCTGACCTCCGAGCTCCCGCCGAGGACGTCGTCCGACATGGTGGCAACCTGAAATACGGAGGAGCAAGATGTGGGTCAGCGAGCAAGATACAAGAAAGACAACAAAGCCTGCCGAAATAAACCCGTGGTCAGGGCCCGACCCCAAACTAATTAGGTTCTGGGTGAACTCCGGTGATTCCATCTACCGACCAGTTTCGGGCGCCCAACCAGACTCCTCAACCCAACCCAAGCAAAGCTCGTGCATCACATGACCCATTTATTAAAAGAACATCCCCCCATGTCTTAAAGGAACACTCGCCCATGTCTTAAAGGAACCCGTTGCTGCAATCATTGAACTTACTCCTGCTTTTGATCAGTGTTCCATCAGTGCAGGCGCCGCTAGGCATCAACTTACCCCCGCAAGTTTATGTACCAAACACTAAGTTCAGTCAATGTGGCTGCCATGTGGCAGTTAGCCATAGCAACCAGTGAGGCCTCTTCTGCCCACTGCATAGTTGCTATGAGGAACAGCTGCACGTGACTATGCCCAACCTGAAACAGAGTGACACCCTGTCTGCCCTCCCCGAGTCCCCAGCCACCCAATGTCCCATATACACCTCAACCAACTCACCAGCAGCGTTAAACACCACGACCGGAAGTCACGACCAGCTCACAAGCTCTTCCGGGGTGATAGTCTGAAGTAAACAGTCGCGGCCATTTTGTTGTAGATCGACCCTTTAACAATCCAAACAAACAAGTCCTCTTCCGCCACCATAAACCGATCATTTCTCATATTTACCCTGGCAAATCCCTATTTTTACCCTGGCAGGAAAACACAAACACGTCTGAGACTTCAGCAACCGCTTTGTAACAGTAAAAAACAAAAGTGTCCCCGATTAGGAAGCGCGGCGGCCATTTTGTTGTAGGTTTAGCGATTTTCAGAAATATTATTTGGTTGCATACGGTGTCGAAATATCACTGAGGTCATTTTCTTGAGCAGGCAGCACCGGTCTCTTTAGTTTGTGGTTTGTTTTAGGGTATTTTGTGGCTGGTAGATTTAGGAAGGCGGTAGCCATTTTGTTGTAGTCCACAGAGCAGAATGTAGGCTCCCATGATCCCCTGAGTGTCTAAACCTTGAGAGCAGATGTGATGGGTTTGTGATGCTGGAGTGTGGGAGAAGTTAACTCAATGCTGATATTATTATATGTAGTAGTGATTTGTTACTAAATAACTCTGACTGAACCCATTCCACCAGTGTGACAGCCGAAAACACAAACCATGTGATTCCGACAACCTCCAGCCTGTCCTCAGACTCAACCTGAAGACATAGGTAAGGTATCAATCAATTGGTCGGGTTACAAACGATCGTAGAGTTCCACGCCATTCCCGTCCCGTCATCTTTTACTAAGTCTTGCGCAATCAGATAAAACCAAAATAGCCATTTTATGGACTAAAGATCTCTTCCTTGCCAGTTTCAGATTGCCAAAGCCTAATTATTTAATGGACGCCCCAAGAATGAGGATGGACAACAATAACGTCACCCAAATAATACTAAACCTTACCCTGGAGACCATCTACCTGCTGACTGGAGAGGTGAGGAGGATTCCGGGAGGGTCACATGACACCCCTCAATCTCTATAATGAAGGGAGTTCGGTAATGCTATACTCACTCTGCTGTTCTTGGTGGCAAAATACATTCCATTCCCTCTCCAATTGCAGGACTATGAAGTAATGAAGAGGACATCTGGTGGTGGCTTCACTTCCCGTGTCTGTGGGGGCTTGAGCCAAACTATGAATCCTTCACTTCCCTTCAAGAAGCAGGAGAAGAACGACAAGAAAATTCTGGAACTCACCAACCAGGTCATTCACATACTGACTGGAGAGGTGAGCATTGCTTGAACGCTGCAGAGCCACACTACAAGTCTCTCGTTGACTCCGCGTCAATAGAACTCTGTCAGAGTCACCTGGCTGGCCCAAGCTAAGTTATCAGAAGGACTGCTCTGAGAATTATTGTCAAATCAAGTAGGACGGCCCACTGGTCAACGTGATAGAGCTCTAAAAGGGAAATTCACGTTCATAGCCCATCAAAAACCTTAATTGACTCCAAACAAGAGTTGGTCAATGGACCCATTATGGGCCATGGTGAAGCTAAAAGGTTCCTTCCAACCAAAAATGATGCTTCCGTGGATGGTAGATGCTGAAGAAGTCAAACCACCAGTTTCTTCTATGGCTCAGAATTTTCAGTGGCGAGATGTTGACACATAGCACTAGTTTTTGGGGCTGCCCATAGCCCACCATCCCCACTGGATTCTTAATTTGATCTGTATAATGGAGAATTAACAGGAGTAACTGCAACACCTGGGGGGTGAGGACCATTTGTGATGGCTCCATTCTTCTCTACCTTTGAGCTTTGGGTGTTCCCACACATCTTGGGGTTGGCCTTCTGATTAAGTCTTCACAAGATACAAATACATTATATGGCCAAAAGTATTGGGACGCCTTTACATGCGCATGAACTTTAATGGCATCCCAGTCGTAGTCCGGAGGGTTCAGTATTGGTTTGAAGCTACAACAGCTTCAACTCTTCTGGGAAGGCATCCACAAGGTTTAGGAGTGTGTCTATGGGAATGTTGGACCATTTGTGAGGTCAGGTGCCTGATGTTGGGGGAGAAGGCCGGGCTCGCAGTCTCCGCTCTAATTCATCCCAAAGGTGTTCTATGGGGTTGAGGTCAGGACTCTCTGCGGCCAGTCACGTTCCTCCACCCCAAACTCCCCCCATCCATGTCTTTATGGACCTTGCTTTCTGCACTGGTGCGTGGTCATGTTGGAACAGGAAGGGGCCATCCCCAAACTCCTCCCACAAAGTTGGGAGAATGAAATTGTCCAAAATGTCTTGGTGTGCTGATGCCTTAAGAGTTCCCCTCACTGGAACTAAGGGGCCAGGTCCAACCCCTGAAAAACAACCCCACACCATAATCCCCCCTCCACCAAACTTTACACTTGGCACAATGCAGTCAGGCAAGTACCGTTCTCCTGGCAAATGTTTGTAGAAGTGTCTGCATTAAGAGGTGCGTGATTATATACACCTGTGGCCATGGAGGTGATTGGAAAACCTGAATCCAATGATTTGGATGGGTGTCCCAATACTTTTGGCAATATAGTGTATATAAGGTATAGTAGGACTTGGTATTGGACGCCCTGAGGGGTATAAATCTCCAGCATCTGCCTGAAGTTGAGGTTTTGGGTCAACTGAACCTACAGCTTAGGGTTAACATTCATGGACTTGGTAGCATGACTGCAGGAACCTGTGAAGAACATGAGGTGTCATTATCATTATGAACTCTTCCCCTTCTGCAGGTGTGGAAGTATTTGGGACAAACAACTCTGAGTGACCACGCAAAGCTGGAAGACTCTACGTCTATATGGACTCATGGTAAGTTTACCTGCTGCTCATCTCCTGTTTGGGACGTGACGTGAGATAGGTCCTTAATAGGTCCCAAATGCCCATTTTGCTGTTTTACTCTCTCTGCACTTGGGAAGAAAGTAGGACATCTCATAGGTCCTGGTCACACTATATTGCCCCCTCTTCCTCCATATGTGTCCTCGTGTCCCCTCCTTAGCTTTGGGTTTAATACTTGCATCAATGGGTGCTTGTACATAAGGCACCACAATCAGAAACCTAATGAAGATGGCTTTTGTTTTTCTTACATAGATGCAAATCATGATCTACCCAACTGCAGCAAAGAGCAATCCAATTTCCATGATGTGGGTGTGTCAGTAGCTATGGATAGTACCCACCATATGTCCCTGATGCCCAATGGTTCTGAAGAAGCCTATCCATCAGACTCTGAAATCTCCACACCGACTCTTATCAAAGAGGAACCCCTGTCAGCTGAAGAACGTCTCCCCCGGCTGGTGGTCTCCAAACCAAGACAACATACATCTCAAGTTGATACATTATCACATGAAGACGGGCACCCGGGAAAGCTGGATATTTATTCCCCTGCTGCGCAATACCTATCTTTCACCATCAAGGAGGAAGAAGATCTCCAACGCACAGATCCCAACATATCCTCCAATGAAATGCGGGCCACATCTCCAGAGATCTCAGATGAATCCATCATGCTGGAAAACTTGGATGAAACTGTGACTTCCCTTGGGAACCATTTTTCTGCCTCGCCAAATCAGGAGCACTCCCGGCAAGCCAACCCCGGTGAGGAATCATATTCTCATTACGACTACAGTGCTGGTGCAGGTGGTGATTTCACCAAAGCTGGGTTCTCCGGGACTGGTGAAAAGCCTTCTGACCCACAGCTGAGTCTCGGCAAGCATCTGATGATTCTCCGGAAAGGAAAAACCTTCTTCTGCTCAGAGTGCGGGAAGTCCTCCTCCTGGAGGTCGGTAATGGTCCACCACCAGCGCATTCACACGGGAGAGAAGCCGTTTTCTTGCCCCGAGTGTGGGAAGTGCTTCAACAGCAAATCCCACCTCATCCTGCACCAGAGGACTCATACGGGCGAGAAGCCGTATTCGTGTTCGGAGTGCGGGAAGTCTTTCACCTGCAGCTCGCACCTCGTCACGCACAGGCGGGTTCACACGGGGGAGAAGCCTTATTCCTGCTCCGAGTGTGGCAAAAGCTTCATCAGCAGCTCGAATCTCATCCGGCACCAGAAGTTTCACACCGGAGACAAGCCCTATTCGTGCCTGGACTGCGGGAAGAGCTACCGGTACAACTCCGACCTGGCTAGACACCAGCGGACGCGGCCTGGTGGCAAACCGTACTCTTGCTCAGAGTGCGGGATGTGTTACTTTAGCAAATGCGCCCTCGCCGTGCATCTACAAGGTCATGGGTTGGCTCCCCGTGTTATGTAATGGGGCGGATGAGGAATCCCTATGATGTCGCAGTTTAGGAACGTTCTATGCTGAAAGGTTCAGTCCACCCAAATTTGATATTTTCAGACCTCATGGAGGTGAACGGCTTGAACCAATGGCATCACTGCTGTCTATTGGGAGCAGGTTCTTCTTGTGGAGAGACTGGTGTGACTGGCACATTGTTCTCCGTACAGCACTGCGTTATATGTCAGAGCCATATAAATATATAAGTGTGTGACCGTGGTGGGACATTAGAGTGTAAGCTCCTCTGGTGCAGAGAATGATGTGAACGATTCAGTGTTCTTTGCAGAGAATACATGTCATAAACCTAATACGTATCCAAGATCCATCTGCAGATTGAAAAAAACAGATTCCCACCAAAGGAAATCTTAAAACGAAGCTGTCTGTACTGATATTCTGTCTTTGCTGTTCCTCGTGGGTGGGGCTAATGTACAAAAAATTCTCATTTACATATTTGGTTTCTCCTTAGTTTTAATATAAGAGTGTTCTAGATTGGAAACAGCTACTTTCCGAACCAGGAACCTAAAGCTGCTTTTGTGGACTCAATATGAATGGTCTAAAAAGTCTGTGGTGTCCAACAACTTCCCGTAGGCAGGAGCCATGCAGAAGCACGTCCGAGGGATGGTGATCCATCTAGCTTCCAGCCATTTTCCGGAGGTGGGACCAATGAAGGTCATAGCGCCTGCAATGGGTCAGCTGCTGCAAGCAAAGATTCGAGTGGTGCAGCTTACTGAGCGCCGGTGTGTATTGATTTGCTGGGCTGAATAGTTCTATGGGCATACATCAACTGTGGCTACTGGTCCACAATGCACCTTCATGCTGGACCACAGTCTCCAGTTAGAATAAATAGTTTTATAATTGACAGAATGATGGCGGTTATCATGTCCCAGAAAAAAAAAATATATATATGCCAGTAACATTTTTTATTTTGTGTTCCATCGGATAATGTCAAATAAAGAGCAATGAAAGAAAACAAGTGTTCATGTGATTATTATAATGACCGTTAGACGTCACACAGATGGCTATGAGGGGGAACGTCAAGGACTTTATATGATACAAGACAGGTGGAATGTTTTGTTCTACGTTCTCTGCAATCCAACACATACAGAGTCCAGACAGCAGCTCACAGGGTCACTAGGAATGTTCTTCCTAAACCCCTCACAGGGTCACCAGGAGTGTCCTTCCTGAACTCTTCTTCCTGAGCACCCTACCGGGTCACTAGGAGTGTCCTTCTTGAACTCTTCTTCCTGAACACCTCACAGGGTCACTAGGAGTGTCCTTCCTGAACTCTTCTTCCTGATCCCTCACAGGGTCACTAGGAGTGTCCTTCCTGACCACCTCACAGGGTCACTAGGAGTGTCCTTCCTGAACTCTTCTTCATGAAAACCCTACAGGGTCACTGGGAGTGTCCTTCCTGAACTCTACTTCCTGCTCACAAAGGTTGACTGGGAATGTCCTTCCTGAACTCTTCTTCCTGATCACCTCACAGGGTCACTAGGAGTGTCCTTCCTAAACTCTACTTCCTGCTCACCTCAAAGGTTGACTGGGAATGTCCTTCCTGAACCCTTCTTCCTGATCACCTCACAGGGTCACTATGCGTGTCCTTCCTGAACCCCTCACAGGGTCACTGGGAGTGTCCTTCCTGAACTCTATTTCCGGGAACACCTCACAGGTCACTGTGAATGTCCTTCCTGAACACCTCACAGTCACTGGAGTGTCCTTCCTGAACACCTCACAGTTACTGGAGTGTCCTTCCTGAACCCCTCACAAGGTCACGGGGAGGGCCCTTCCTGAACTCTTCTTTCTGAGCCCCTCACAGGATCACTGAGTGTTTTCTTCCTAAATTATTCTCCCTGAACATCTTGCTGGGTCACTAGGAGTGTCCTTCTTGAACTCTTCTTCCTGAACATCTCACTGGGAGTGTCCTTCCTCAATGCTTCTTGCTGAACACCTCACAGGATCGCTGAGTGTGTCCTTCCTGAACTATTCTTCCGGGAACACCTCACAGGCAGTGTTGTTCCTGAGCTCTTCGTTCTGTTCCTTCTTCACTGTTCACCAATTCCATTATCCAAGGTTGGCTTGGTAGTGGGGAACAGCATAGAAATGACCTTCTACATGTGAGGGAAGAGTCCGCAGTCTGTCCTGGATAACAAGCTGGGGGTTCCCAGATCACCATCATATTACAGAATCAAAATACGGATGAAGCCTTCTGTTTCCCAACTTTGACGGTCATTCTGGCTTTACTTGTGATCACTCACCCATAAACAAACCACTCTTTTGTGTGGTGAGCAGGTAGCTTGAGATGTCGTAGATCTTAGTCGCCCAGGAACCTGCCCACATTTTGCAAGAGCTTGGACAGCTGCTAGGAAGCAGAAATTATTTTCGACTGCAAGGACAAAGGTAGCAGAACTTCAAAAATCATTTTATCCCAAGAAAAGACATCACATGATGCACAAATAGATATCAGCCAAGGTTGAACTAACAGATGGGTCCCCATGTGTCTATTACAGTGCAAGATAGTTACGTACGGTAGTTTTTGTACCTTTGTGATGGTGTTTTTAAAGTCATTGTTATGGATGTGGTTTATAAAGTCTCATGTGACACATCACAGCTTTCTATCTCCCCACTGGTAGGCCTGGATTCCTCCTCTGACGGCACTTTAGGGTAGATCAGTCGGGGTTTCAGAAGGGTTGTCTCCCTCAGGAAGAACTTCTGGCGACTGGAGCAGCAATAGTCCCTTTGCTTTGGGTGTCCTATCATGTGCCTGGTTAGATCAGCCTGCTGATCCAAAGTTCTCTCGATTTCCGGACAAGAAGCCGGCTTGACCATTGAGTAGTTCTTGCAGTGCTTGTTGAGAGCATACTTGCTGGTGAAACCTTTGCCACAATCGGGGCAGGAAAACGGTTTCACCCCGGTGTGACGTTTGATGTGCACATTCAAATTGTACTTTGAGGAAAACTTCCCCCCGCAAATAGTGCAGTTAAACGGCTGCTTCTTGGGGAGGGGTTTCTTGGCGCGAGGGCTTGAAGAAGTCTCGCCCTCCGCACGGTCTCTCAAAAACGCTGCGTTGAGGCGCTCCTTCTCCGCGGCATGCCGCAAGTAGTGGTCAGCAAGCGGCGACGCCTCGCCGAACGTCTCTCCGCATTCCCAGCATTTGTACAGCGTGTCTCCAGAGTGAGTCTTCATGTGCATCTCCAGGTTGGAGATGATAGAATAACAGCGTCCACATTCGCCACACACAAAGCGTCTTTGATTCATTTGAGCGGGTGGCGGTGTTGGATGATTCAACCTAGGAGGAGAACGTTGGCCAGATTCAGTGCCGGAAGGTTCCTTTATGCTCATAGAACTCCCTTTTTCACATGGGTTTGAATCGTCCTTAATAGAAGTCGTTTTATTTTGGATAGATCCAGTTGGTTCCACATTACATCTTGAAGGGTCCTTTTCTTCACGTGAGAGGGGCTCCTCTTTAACATCAGTACATGGAGAATATGTATGACTAGGGTGTGTGATGTTGGGGAGATGTTCCTCATCTGAGGGTTGTTCCTCCTTAACATGAGGAGTTGTGGAATACATATGATGTGTCGGTGTTGAGCTGTCAGGGTTGGGGAACTGTTCTGGAGCTGAGAGGCCTTCCTCCTTAACATGAGGAGATGTTGATTGTGTATAACATGTGGGTGCCGAAATGCTATGGCGGTGGAGATGTTCTACGGTTGAGAGGACCTCCTCCTTAACATCAGTGGTTGTAGATGGTGCATGATGGGCGACTATGGAGATATGTGGAAATTGTTCTACAGCTGAGAGGGGCTCATCCTTCACATCGGGAGTTGCAGACTGTGCATGGTGGGTGGCCCTGGCGATATCAGGAAAATGTTCTACAGCAGAGAGGGGCTCACCCTTAACATCAGGAGTTGTGGGTGGTGCATGGTGGGTGGCCATGGCTATGTCTGGAAAATGTTCTACAGCAGAGAGGGGCTCACCCTTAACATCAGGAGTTGTGGGTGGTGCATTGTGGGTGGCCATGGCGATGTCTGGAAAGTGTTCTACAGCAGAGAGGGGCTCATCCCTAATTTCAGTAGGGGTAGATTGTGTTAGCGGGGAGATCTCAGTGGGTGGGAGGTGTTCTACTTCACAGGAAAGAGGTCCCTCAATAATCTGAATTGATATGTATTGCATTTGTTCTGGAGGCATGGACATCTCAGAGTGTGGAACGTGTTCTGATGAGAGGAACCCTTCGTAAATAGGTGTAGATTGTGCAAGATTGGTGCTTGGGACATGTTCTTCAGCCAAGTGGGGATCCCTTTTACAATCAGTAGCTGTAGATTGTCCATGATGAGTGGCCGTAGAAATGTACGGAACGTGTTTCACTTCACCGGACAAGAGCTGTTCCTCCATCATCTGATTGGATATGTATTGTATGTGGTCTTCTGGTGAAGAGATGTTTAAGTGTGGTAGATGTCCTTCAGCTGAGAGTGACCCCTCCTTTATAGGAGAAGATTCCAATTGTGTAGAAAGGGCAAGTATGAAAATGTCAGAGCTGGGGAGATGTTCTTGAGCTGTGAAGGCCTCCTGTGTATGATGTGTGGGATTGGAGATGACAGAGTTGAGGAGGTGTTCCTCACACGAGAGGTGCTCCTCCACGATGGGAAGACACAAGTCTTGTATGTCTGTCGCGGTGGAAATGTCAGAGTATGGAACATGTTCCACCTCTTGACAAGATGTCACGGTGTTCCGTTGCTTTGCTGGGGGGCGTTTGGCAGTGATGGGAATGCTGTTGTCTTCATTCATAAAGTCAGATGATGGAGAAATTAGGAGGCCGTGTCTTCCAGA